AATGACCTGGTGTACAAATCTTCCTCAATTTAAACCATAAAACTGCTATGAGACATAAAGCAAAGCTGTACCCTGTGAGCACCCATCTGAACAGCAATGTAGCACAGTGGGTAGAAATTTCCAATTTGTTTCCATTGGGCAGGAGGGCCGGATTTATTTTTTTTTTAATCACTGCATATGCTAACTATTGGTAAGGGGCAGAGCAGGGCAGAACAGTGTTCAGCTTCCTTTTAGTTCTGTCATGCAATACAGTATTGAAGAAGCACAAGAGAATTAAAAGCAATACTCAAAGCAGAAGAACCCCAACTTGTTAAGGAAAACTAGAAATTTGATTTTGCCAGTGTTGCTTGATATGCAAGCATTAAACAACCCAAAACCTTTCAAGATATCTATGATGTAATTTAGAATGGAAAAATAACTTCTGATAGTGTAGCCAAAAGGTTGGATAGAATTAATGCGGCTGATAACATTTTATTTTCAGTATTAATTTCCACTTATGAAACCTGGTTAAAATGTCTTTCCATACTGATGCCCAAACACACCTTAAGCATTTCCTTAAAAAGTCTGCTTAGTCAGAGCACACAGAAATTCAAAGCACCCAAGAAAGTGTCTGTCTCTTACACTCTATCTCACATCAACAATGTTGCGTTAGAAAAGTGAGAACACTTTTTTAACTGATAAAACTGAAGATGACAAGAGCTATTAGACCTTAAAATAGGACACTTTCAATTATTTATACAAACTTCTCAAGGCACTCTAGCAAACAGTTTCAATACTTTTGAGTAATCATATACAGAGACAGTCTTTGAAGGTAGTGGCAATTACAATACTGGTAACATGGCCTGCTGCACATGTACACACATGTCTTAAAGGAAAGCACTGCAGTGTAAACCTATATATATGAAGTAAATTATTCTGAACTTTCAGTCATAGACCAATTTCTAGCAAATTATTTTAAATTTCAATTCAACTTTGGTCACTAAGGAAGCAGATTTCCTATTTTGAAGAAAACTAAGAGTGGCAGGCTTGAACACTAGGAATTGAAAGCTACTACAACCAGATTATGAAAATCTGGATATACATCACAACATATCATTACAGAGCAGAAAGTAAAACTCTGAGACAAAAATTCAGAGAAAGCTCATTACAAGGACCTGTCAGAGGCAATGGCGCTTCGGCGTATGCTTGAGATGTGCAGGAGCTTCCTTACAAACCGGCGGATTGTGGTGGCGCGGGTCATCATACCACCAACAATACCAGCAGCACCCTTGTGCCCTTTGCCCCACCAGGAACCCCATGTTCAGCTTCTCATACGACCTCCGAATTGCCTACTGGGATGAGATGTGGCCTCTAGGGCTGCTGGCACAGCAGCCCACACCGCACACCCCATGACAGGGTGATGACCTGGGCTGGGCTAATGGGACGGGATGTGGGACTTGCCTGCAGATGTTCCACCATGGAGGTGAGTGGCTCTTCCCACTGGGTAATTACTTAAAAAGAGGCCTTGCTGTCATCTTGGGGAAAAGATTTGGCTGGTTGGGGGTGCCTTACTGCCAGAGAGCCTTCACGTATGGGAATCACGAGTAAAGAGATGGCTGCCTTCCTCTAGGCCAGATTTAGGAGATCAGTTTCCCCTTGAGTTGGGCAGGGCTTGCAGCATCTCACTCCCCCACCATTCCACATACCTGGGCAGTGCTGCTCTTAGCCTGTTGGCTATATGGGTCTCCTTGTGAGCCTCCTATGGTGTTTTTAGGGTACATATCAGCTGCGTTCATTGCTGGATCATCAGTTTCTAAAACTGCATTCCCCCCGCAACGGATGATGGCAGAGCAAATTCCTGCCATGTCGCAGTGGCACATTGCAGACCCATTTCAGAGCATTATCAAAAGGCAAGGAAGAGTCACATTGCACATGGGGTTTTAAAGGCAGATGAGAACCCTGGCTGATATAGCTTAAGATGAAGGGGGAATCATCAAAACTTCACTATATAAAAAAGAAACAGGAACGCTGTTCTTGTGTTATCAATCAGGCTGTTGCACGCCATGGTTGGGAGGGTCTACGCTTGCATGTATGCAGTTCCTGTAACCTCAGAACCCCATTACTACTTGGTCCTGAGGGACTATAGACAGCAGAAATTGTGCGTGTGTAAATTTTTACTGCAAAACACACTATTTGGTCCTAAAAAGTATGAAAACTATGAGAGAAAAATTATGCCTTTCATGAGCAGAGACATCCTGCTCTTTGATCATCTCTGAAAATTGACAGAACTGCTTATATTGCTAGTGGAGCTACAAGTTAAAAGTGAAAAAAACAACCCCTACAATAAGCAGTTTTGTCCCACTCAGGGAGCATCTGATTTGGACATCTCAATTTGCAGAAGGGCAAACTTTTCCTAATTACAGAAGTCAATTTTAAATCTTGGTAAAATACGAGTCATCACAATTTTGTGTCAAGTTTGCAATGCAGTGTTCTCCTTTCCTGCAGACTGTAAGCACACAGAGTAGACAAAACGCATCAATACTATACCAGACAAAAAAGAGTAAAAGTTGAAAACTAACAGGCGCTGGCTGAGGTTGGGCCAAGACGGTGTGGTTTCCAGCTGAAGCCAAAATGGTGTCTGCTCTTACCTGGCCACCTGCAAAAATGATAGGTGCAGAGGCAGGTTTGGGACGGTAGGGGATGGTGGCACCTTTGGGTGGGGACTGCAGACAAAAACACAAAGCGATCAAAATGCAGAATGAAGCAGAGCTCGTATTAAAAAATCACGCCTTATCTTGGTCACCTCAGACAAGGCATACAGCTAACCCAGCCGAGCCCACCCCACCCTGCCCTCCACCCCATCAGCCCAAAAACAGGCTGGAGGCCGGTTGTCTGGGCTTCGAGGGGAAGAGCCAAGGTCCCAACTGCACAGCCGAAACAGGCAGTGCTGGCACTCGTGGCTTCAGTACCGCCATCGTCGGATGAAGCTATGAAGCTTCGTTAAGCATGTCAAGGCATTTCAGGAAACAGGGGCACAATTTTGAAATTCGTCAATGTTTTGGAAGAGTCCAGCCTGTGCTCTCGCCTTGTTAACACAGAGCACATCTCCTGCTTATCGATCTTTCCTACACTGCTACTCATCAAGGTTTCTTGTTTTACCAACTCAATTAAGTCAGCTGTTCAATTGCGAATGACCAGCCTGATCCTGCCTTTCGTCTGACTGAGCTGGAAGGTTGGAGAAAAATTGTCCCGGC